CCATCAATTACGTGGTAGGATAAGAAAATATAGATATTGTTCTTACTATTTTTAGAGGCATAAATGGGTGTATTTACTTGTTGTCTTTATTATGTACCAAACTTACAAAGAACAGGCACACACATTTGTAGACGCATCGCTGATACGGACATTACCTATGGATTTTTTTGGCACATCATTATCATTAAGGATGCAGCCCCAAGTAGCCTGGAGAGTCTCAAGTACAAGCTGCTGACTAGTTTAGAAGGTCCCTGGTCATGCCCCACTTTATTGTTAGTGGGAGCTCTGCCCTGAATGCATTGGGACGGGCTAAGCCCTAAATCAGCCACTATGGTCATTTAACATATTTACAGAGTTAGAGTCTGAAGGGTTTTGCAGTCTTTTCCCGAAACTCCCAATAAGTACACTTAAAAGCTATTGTGTAGGGTAGCTCCCTTTTTTCCTGATGGCGTGAGCGGGTGCAGAGCATGTACGTGGCTGGCGTGTCCCGTCAGAACGGGACCATTCTTTCGGTGGCCTCCAGGAGCCTCTCCAGGCACAGAGGGCTCCTTGTTATGACAGGTAGCTTTCTGAGCATTTCAACAGATGCTTCAGCGTGCCAAAAGCATAAAGCACTTGGAAAGGAGCACGCAGAATATTTCAGCCGTGTTTCTTAAAATAAATGTCGTGCCTTAAATAATAGACGTTTTCCTCACAGACTTTAGAATAACCACTGATGCTGAAACAGCGTTTGAGTTATTGGACATGACGTTTGCAAAAATTCCTCAAAATTCAGTAACTATAGCGAGGTTTGGGGAGGTTTTGCTTTTTTTTCTAACGCTCGTGTTAAAAGCACCTCAGCTCCGTCAGCTCATCGTTTTTCAAGTCTGTTTAATTCTGATTGCCAGATTTCATAGATGCGCACCAGGCGCACGGTTGGAATCCAGGCAGGCTGGGTACGCTCACGTCTCTGATAAACCTCAGGTTATCACCGCTCTAGGACTGAATCAGATAGTACTTTGCAGTGGGATGTTGGCTGCGAGGGGTGAAACAGCGCTGATTCCCTCGCGCTTTGCTGGCCGCCAGAGGAAGACGCCTGGTGTTCAGTGCCGCGGCGCCTGGACGCGCGAAAACATTCAGCCCCGGTGCACGGCGCACGGCGCGTCTGCCCGGGGAAAGGCTGGGATTTGCTTTGGCACCCTGCGCCAAGAAGAGCAGCAATCAACTGGTGAGAATCAAGACATGTTGGTGGGAGAGAGCGTTGTGAAAGCGATGACGGAGAGATGTAGGAATCCCAGGGAAAGCTTGTTGCGGTGGAGCAGTCGCCCAGCCGGTGCAGCCTTTCCCTCACTCTTGCGTAAGATGATGTAAGGTGACAAAGAGCTTAACTGTGATCGGTCCTGTTCTGATGTTAATTACCAGTGACTACATCGCTTTTGATAGAATTAGAGGAGTGTAAAACAGGCCCACAATTAAGTCTGATTTTGATCTTAGCAGCTTCAGACAATATAAAATGCAAATATCATTTGAGACCAGCTCAAATATTTTTAACAGTGTTGCTCAAAAAGGAAAAGAGCAGAGTAGTCAGTGGTCGGTCAGGACAAGAGAATATGCCCTACTTTCATTTCAAAACCAAAAACACTGACCACAGAGGTCTTATCTGCATACTTAAGTTTCACCTGCATTTTTCCTTTGTAGTAAACCAGGCGACTCCTGTATCCTCACCTTTATTTGGGAAGGAAAACTCATTCCAAAACATTGTGCACCTGATCCTTATTTGCAGCTAAGTCCTTTTACACTTTCACAGCAGGGGAAAGTACAACTCTTGCCACTTGGATCTGCGTATTGCCAAGCAAAGCATGCTTGGTAGGAAAGGCACATCCTTTATTATGAATGCCTTTGTCACCCGTACTCAGCCACTGAGTTATTAAGAGAAGAGCTTCGGACTGTGTTACACAGAGAAAAAGATAAAAATAGGGTGTCTGACGCATGCATCCCGTGTCGCACGCCAGGAAACAGAACCGTTATGCCACCGAGTACAGTATTCCAGAGCATGCGTGGAAAATATGCATGGATGTGAACGCGCGAGATCTTTCCTAACCAAGAAAAATACTCAGTCCCCCTTTTCCCCCTTCCCGTTTTACATTTCTTGTTCGATATTCCCTTTACCTGTTGACAAATCTAACAGCCTGGAGTACCGCAGCTCTGCCTTTACTGCCACAGCTCCCCTCATCGTCCTGCTGCACGATGTGACAGTAATAACGCTCTCCTATATTTTGAGGGAACTGCAGAATAGTCTCACTGCGCCCAGCTGAGAGTAAGCAAAATCTTGCCTGTTCTCCAGAAATCTGCAGCATGCCGAAAACTCCCAAAGCTCAACACTGTCACAGAAATTGTGCGCTGGGTGCATGATCTAAAATTAGTCATCCAGAGTATGTGCCCCTTTAAATGTTAATCCCTGCATCGTTTTTATTGCTTCTGTTGGCATACACGATTATGTGACATAATATAAAAGTAAATAATGTGATGCAATGGGTAAAATTCAAAGGGAAGTACATATCAGAGATCAGATGCCTCCTACCGCAGAATATGAAATAAAACTTACAGTGAATTGAGAGTGAGGATTTTGCCTGTTTTGAGGGCAGCAAAATCAACCGTATAGTGATTCTATTAGTCTTTCTGGATGTTTTTGACACTTCCCAGCTCTTGAAAACTCATGTTCATTCAGCGCTGTAGCCACTACTTGTCTTCAGGTGCAGAAGTAGCTGGCAGGGAGTAAGTAACTGTGGGTAATGGATCCAAAGCAAAGCCCAGCAGGGCTGTACGACAGGGCCTTTAAGAAAAAACAAACATAAATTTAGTTTAAAGATCACAAGCCTTAAAAAACAATGCAAAACATACATCTGAGATCTTATTATTTATTTTCCAGCATGTGAACCCTTCTCAGGGGAGGGCAGATACGCAAACCTGAGGACTTTGGGTATTCAATTGCCACCTGTGGGAAAAGCACAAGCTGAGACTCAGCAGTAGGTTACGAGATACGGCAGCAGCCGAGTTCAGATTTAAAGATAAAGCCTGAAATAGCAGAACCCAGTGCAAGACCAGCATTTTTTGACCCCTTTGCCCGGATTCAGTAAAACATGTGGGTACCTCAGTGTGCGATTTTGCTTTTGCTGTATTGAGGTTTGAGTTACTCGCTGGTCTATTTTTACTTTTTAAGCGGCCTTGTAATTCAATATGTGTTTGTTTTAATTTTACACTCTCCATAAAAAGCACCGTCCATGACGAGTTGGAGAAGTGACTGCTGGTAATGCATAGAAATTTAATCGGCTGGTGTGTCACACTGTCTTACTTTCCCCCTCTGCAAACCTGCGTGCCGCTTGCGACCAAAAATGCCCCACGATCCCTGCGTCTCCTCCGTCACCTCGGCTTTGCCGCTGCGGCTCTGGAGATGCCGAGGCGGGGTGGGATCAGCCCGGGCCGAATCCAGGTCACTCCGCCAGCCCCGCTCGCTCGCGCCGGTGGCGGTAGTGAAGAGCCAGGGCTGCAGGGCGGGGGGGACGGGGTGGTGGTGAGTAGGACAGTGGCTTCCCCGTGGCCGCCGGCTATGCCGGGGGCACGCCTGCCGTCGCCCGCCGGCGGCTCGATGGGGGTTAAAGCCGGGAAGCCGCCTTTTTGCAGCGTAGCACCGCTGCTGGTGTCGGGGTCGTAGGAGGCGGGTGTTCCGTCTGGGGCTGAACTGAGACGTGCAGCCCGCGGCACCCTGCTGAAGGCAACGCGCAGGCTTGGCTCTGCTTTTCTCCGTCATTTTGCCGATACCGCAGATTTTCAAACTGCCACTAATGTGTTTTCAATTTGACAATACTGATATGGAAACCCGCCATATCATGTCACAACCCCCTGGCTCCGAGCTGCCTTCGTGTGGTGTCTCAGCAATGCAGAGCTGATAAAATATTGGAGTGCTGGAAATGAGCCTCCTCCTCCCGTCCCTGTCCTCCCAGCATCCATGCACTTTAGGTAAGGATGTAAAAATTGCCACACCAAATCAAACAAATTAAAGCGCTTCTGTTTTCCTCTTGGCTCTGCTGACCAAAGCGTGGGATGAAAAATCTGCAGTGTGCCCGATTAGTGATAGAAGATGTGTCTAGGCACAGCGTCCTTCCTTGCTCATGCATTGGTCACTGTGGTACCTGAAACGTTGCCATTATGCATTCCTGTTGTGTGTTTGATAGCAGTGGGAAGGCTTTGTGCCTGTGTTTGCACTCACCAGAATTTTGCAGTGCTCAAGGAGCAAAACTGACTCAAGATCTTTGTTCTTAATAGCATTCCCGCTGTCAAATGGTAAAATACCCTGGAGTGATAGGTCTTATGTTATTATGAAGCCACAAAATACTTTTTAAGATTTAAGGAGAGTGAAAGCAAGCAAAACACAAATATCAACATTTCATACAGGTTTCACCACTTGCTTTCAGCTTTATTTAGCTTTGGACTTGCATGCACTGTAAATTAAAAATGTTGCTCCTCATAAAATTATGATCAGTGGTCTAATTTTGATCTGTCAGATTTAGTGATGGTGCAGTGATGGTGGATAACTCGTGCCCAAATGCACCTGAACCGTTCGCAGAGGAAACTAAACTAACAACAAAGCGAGCAGGTTTGCTCTGCGATGGCACACCTCCTGGGCAGCCCACCTTGCCCGTGCTCCTCTCTCCTATAGTTGCTGTGTCCTCCCTTCCCTTGGGACGGGGCTTCACAGCTAACTATTGCAAGGTAACTATTTTTGTGAGACTCATTTCCCAGCATCAGGCGGCAGTGCTAAGCGGAGGCTCCACCCGTGATCTCCTTCGCACCAGCGTGAACCCGGAGTAGCTTCTTCAGGAGATGGTGGGATGAGGTCAGACTCTGCTCCTGCTCCATCCCCAGCCTGTGGCAGAAATAACTCTTGTCATCAGAGCGGTCACTGTGACATGGATGAGGTTCAAGTCAGGCCCAGTAGCTTCAATGAGATTTTTGTGCGATTATAACAAGAATTTGACACACATGGTGAGCTACTAGTCATGTATATGTGATCTGTCTCCACACTGTCCCAGGAGGTATTTACCAGCATAAAAATCAGTTAATGAGGGGACGTGTCCCAAGCAGCAGCCTGCTGCTGCACGAGGGATGACCCGGGAAGCTCAGGGATGGATGAGCTGTGTCCTTTCCACTTGCAAACTCCGTCAGTTTTGCCACCCTCGGTCCTAGGAGGGAGGATTGACTTCCTTGTGGTTTTTTGCTGAACGCCACAGCAGAATTTATGCAAAGCTTTCTGTGGATGTAGCGGGAGTGCTCAAAAGCTCACCCCATCTAAAGTGCCTCAGGTCCTTTAGGATAATGAGACATTTTCTGAGTACACCTTTTTATTGTACCAATATTACGTTACAGGAAAAATGGAAGGGGGGAACTTAACACATAGCACCTGTCACAAGTTCTCTCCTTGAATTAGGCTCTCCTGCTTATAAAAATTTAATTGATTCCTAGCAGTTTATGTGCATGGTGCTCAGCGGGCGTTTTCTGTTCTCTTGCCAGCTACATGGTTACTTAGAAAGCGAGCCGCTCACGCTACAGCTGTTCATTGGGACTGCAGACGACCGCCTGCTGCGACCCCATGCTTTCTACCAGGTTCATCGAATCACCGGGAAGACCGTTTCCACCACCAGCCATGAAACAATACTTTCCAACACCAAAGTCCTGGAAATTCCACTTCTTCCAGAGAACAACATGAGAGCAATGTAAGGCCCAGGCACCGTATCTGATTCCTAGCAGTTTCCTCTTGGTCGCCCCATTTGATTTCTTCTGTGTTGTGGGGGGTTTTTTGGTACACAATTTTCCTTCTCCTATCTTCTTTTTTTAAAGTTCTCTCTGTAATAGTAGGTTTTCACAACTTTGCCGGAACAAAATGCCCTTAATCAGCTTAACAACAAAATTACCTTCACAAATATTTATGACAACTGATTGCTTTCATTCTAGAGTTTCAGCCAATGTGCTTATTTGCCGTTTAAAATAAGTATCTCAGTTACCAAGCTGTAAATATCTCCTACCTCAGCTCCTGCATTTAGTTTCTAAATCTGACACCTCTTGCTCCTATACGCACTAGCACAAGGAACAGGGCCTATTAAAATTTATCTTTGGATGTCAAAGGAAACTCTTAAAGAGCATTTCCAAGTACCCTAGTGGTTTTTTTTGAGACGAATAAAACCACTCTTATTTCTTAAGTAATAAAAATCAGCATTTTTCATGGCATTTGTTTAGAAGCAAAGCTTCTAGAACTAAGAAGAGGAGTAAAGGTGATAAAACTTACAGATTGGAGCTGTTAAACAGGGCTAAGTTTAGTCCTATGCAGAAAAGCAGGCATGACTGTCTAAGAATCTCTGAATTAGTAGGAATCTGAGTGATAATTAAGTGCCCAGTAGGTCCATTACACACAGGTAAATTTCATTGTAGGGTTATATGTAAAGGGTCAAATATTCCTCTGTGTATGTGACATACATGAGACCCTCCACATTATTTAATCCCGTCCTCTCTGCCCCTCCTCGTTCAAATGATCCTAGCCCTTATCTGAGTTGTCTCCCCCCTCATTCAAATGATCCTAACCCTTATCTGAAGTGTCTGCCTTGGGAGGAATTTGTGTGTGCTTGCGTGCATGTACATCTCTCGGTGTGTGTATAAATGTGAATGTATTCATATTTATATATAGATGCACGCACCTTTCTATGTATGTATAGGGAGATAGAAAGATAAGTAGGTAGATAAACAGAAAGCAAGCAAGAAATCCTGGCCCCACCAAACCAAATACCACGGGAAAATCCCAGGGAGCCTACTAAAATCGCAATTTCACTCCTTGTTATTCATACAGTTTTCCACGCCTTAATGAAGTGAAAAATGGTATCAGACACCTGAAGTCCTTCTACATGTAGTGGTTATTAGAAGCTGGTTTGCAGTGTCATGTACAACATGCCCCAGAGTGCCTCATGTAAATAGAAGAGCTAGAATGCGTTCGGCTGCATTGCCAGCCGGACTCAGGGTGATCACTCAAGACCTGAGGACCTCTGTCAGTGCATTGTGTTAAAAGTCATGACAAGCCTGCAAAATTATTGGCCCCATTTGCTGTTGTTGTAAGCTGGCATGACTCAATTGAAGTTATGGAAATTTCACTAATTTGTATCCACGCAATATTTATTTGGCCCTTTATTTATCCAGTTTGAATAACATTTTTGGCCATCTAGGGACATATTACCGTTTCAATCATCTTTCTCCCTAGAATAAAGGTAGTTACACAGTTTGGGAGCCAAGCTGAATATTTTCATGATGTGCGTGCCAGGTCGTAGTAGAGCTCTCTCAAGAACCACAAACAATGCTTTGGCCTTACACGTCAGTAGTCTAAAACCTCATGTAGCACTAACAATGAATTGAAATATGGAGCCAAGAGCTTTTCTCATACATACTTCGTGTATTCAGGCCTTGATTCAGTGAAACACTGAAGCTCATCTGCACATTTAAACTTTTGCACATTTAGCTACTCCTATTGACTTCAGATTTTGATGTCCATGACTTTACAAGCCTGAATTTAAACGCTTTTTCTCCTCTGAACTTTATTGGTTCTGAACTAATTGTCATGAAGTACTTTTTATTTATTTTAGAAGCGTTGCTATAGGAGAGACAGTATTGAGAAGCGCACTGTTTCTTCTGTATCTCATGGATCTTTGCGTAGAATTTTGACATGGGTACAAATATTTCATAATTATTATGGCTTCACCTGCTAATATGCATTGTTGAGAAGCTTTAATAGTTTCATTAGTTTCTTTGATCGTATCAGCAAGGGCCTTTTTGTTATTCTGAAATCCATACTATAGAAAAAATGTAGATCAAAACCGTGCTGCCATAGTTCTTGTTTGCAGTTTGCTTCAGAACAGAGCTTCAAAGGTCTGGAGGGGGAATTAAACTCTTTGAATGCAAAATAAAATTAAACTATGCATATTCAGTGTAATAAAATGCATGCCAGAGACCAGTACCAGAAGAAATTGCCATGTAGGCTTTGTAGTTGTGGCCAAAGCAGAGGTATTTTTGCAGTGGGTTTTTTGAGTGCATATGTTTATGTATCTTTTGTTCTGGGAACTTCCTCTATTGAAATTTGCTTTGACAAAAATCCTGACTTGTAAACTCATCCAGGAGAAAACCAAAGTTTAAAAAAAGGAGGGAGAGGTCAGAAACAGTAATAGTTCTATCTGACGAAAAACATGTTTTTCCCTAATGTGGAGGGAGGACTCTGAGTTTAGTTTTTTTCATGCAGAGCTTCAGCTCAACACTCAGCTTGGGAATATTTCCAACTCATTCAAATACAAACACATTGACCTTAGGGAGAGCTGTGCTCATTAATAAGCATTTTCGGGACTTTGCCCTAGAATAAAAATCATGTCAGATTTTTCTCTAAGGTAGCTGTAACAAGTGAAATCGTAAGTAACCTTGCTTTCTAGGTTAGTAATACTTCGTGCACTACCGTCTCATCCCATTGACTTTTGCTATTTCTTTGGGCTTTGGTTAATCTGTAAGCGCCATCCTTACAGGATGTGTTGGAGAGGAAGGATCTTTTAGATTTTCTTCCTCTGGGAACTGAAGTAACATCCTAAATTTGTGTGCTCAACAGCAGCTACTACCTGTTACTACAGATAGCCCCAAATTAGCTACTTGTGAATGCAAGTACTAAGCTTAACAAAGTCTGCTGTGTTCAGCCTCATCATTGGGTCGTGTCTGACTCAGATTTTTCAGAAGGATGTACAGGAGAGAGGGAAGATATTGCACGCTCGTGTCTTCCTGCAGTCTGCTTGAAATGAATTGAATTGCTCTGTGTTTCCTTTTGGATAGCATCGACTGTGCTGGGATATTAAAGCTCCGAAACTCTGACATCGAGCTGCGCAAGGGAGAGACGGACATCGGTCGGAAGAACACGCGTGTGCGGCTGGTCTTCAGGGTTCATATCCCACAGGCCAATGGCAGGACCCTCTCCTTGCAAGTAGCCTCCAACCCCATCGAGTGCTGTAAGTAGCAGCAAACATCCTTCTCTTGCTGGGTATTGTGCCACCCCACATGCAGTCTTTGTCCACCGACATGCTATACATTAGTTCACTTTACCTGTCTAGTCGGTGAACCTTAATCTGCTTTCCAAAAGCATATTGAAGACAAAATACCTGTGTCTTAGAAAAAACAGTGTAGCTTCGTGCATTGATTTCTATGGGAAAGGACGCACTTAAAACAAAAGTAGAGTGCGCTTAAACTAACAGTAGACCTGGGAGTGACAAGGCTTTTTTTTTTTGATGACTCCCTATCATATAGGTAACTGCTGTAGGAGTTTTGGAAAACAGCTATCGTGTCCTATTCATTCTCTGTCTCCCCATCATAAAGCAATAACCAGCAAACAAAACCCCAACCCCTTTGATGCAGAACTAGCAGTATACTAGAGCTGACACTGGCACAAGCTGCCTGCAGCTACAGAAAACCTCCAGAAACCAGGTTTCTGCACTGGGGTCTCTTTGATTGAACAGACTGCTTTTTATCAGATACATCGGGGCACCTCCAAAGACACCTATATCATTCTTGCTCTGTAAGCCTCGTCAGCCTCCCACACACAAAACAAAACCTGTTTGCTTCGTGTAGCTTTAACACTCAGCATAAGTGGTGGAAATTGAATTTCAGTCTAACTCCCATTGCTAATTTGGTCAGCTGGATGGACCGAAACAGTTTTTTAAGGTTCTCTTGGATTCCACAAAGTGGATCTTTCTGATGCTGACAGGGTAGGGAGTAACTTAATGTCCGGTGGGTAAGAGGGGGGTGAGCTTGGGGTGTGGGGAGCAGAGAGGATGGGAAAGAAGGCTTGACCATCCCTAGCCCTGTGCATGCTGGAGGGTTGTGTCTGTGCTTGTCCCTGCGTCATTGCCAGGCTGGAGTCCCATATAACGTGTCTGGCAGGTTCTGGAGCATGTCAACATTTGATCTCTTGCAGGCATGGTGCCTTTTCAGGGATCGTTAATAGAGAGGCTGCAGGAAAGAGCATCCCTGCATTCCTCTTGCAAAAGCAGTGGCATTGGTGACAGACTTTTCAGACCAGCGACAGTACTGCATCTTTTTGCTTAGGGTAGCACCGCTGCCGCTCTGGTAATCCGAGTCTGCAAGAGAGGCAGAAGTTGTAGGAAAGGGTAGTGCTGTTAGACCAACAGTGATAGCTTCTCTCCTTCACAGTCATTCATTTAAATAAACAAATGAGCATTGGCAGTGGGAAGGGAGTTACATTAAGATAAGCCTATGTTATTTATGAAGAATGTAAGAGCCTCCTTAACCTGTAGCAGATAGAGTGGCATAAAGCCCTGTCTTCTGTCCGGGGTATGTATGAGATGAACAATTTGCCCTTTGTTTCTTAATGCGAGGGCAAGTTCTAGGCTAACAGGCAAAGCAAAAAATGTGAGGAGTCATGGTTTCATCCTGCTCCTGTTGAAGTTGATGAAAGCTTTTAAATTGCTATATAGCAGGATAAGGCACAATTTAAATACACCCTGAACTGGTCTATGCAAAGGTGCCAAGCTCAGGAAGCCACTAAGTATGAAGCTGATTGGATTTGTATCAGTGAACTGCAGTTGTGAGGGTTGTGTAACGAGCAGAAGCATGGTATGTGCCTCCTGAAAGGAGCAGAAAACAGGAGGAAAAAAAAGTGCTAGTGTTCTTTCCAGTGCAGAATGTGGAATAAGCTGGTGCCAAAAACTTCATGCATCTCTTAGTGCATGTGACACCAGGAGGAACCATGTAATCTGGATAAAATGTCACATCATCCCTTGAAGCACAGCCACGCTTGCTCCATGTCCCAGTTGGGGGGGATAAAATATGTGCCACAAGAATACCTGATTCTGTTTGCACGGATACACATGTGCTTTGGCACTCAGGTGCTGGTGGAAATACGCTCTCTAAACTGTGAACTTCTGCTGGATCGCGAGGCCCATGGCTGCTGCTGCTGTTGCAAGACAGTTTGCAGAATTGACAATACAGTGTTTAGTGACTGAAACACATTTTGGACATGGATGGTCATCTGTGCCTTGTAAACATACGCCATATATGTTATAGATAACATAAGAAAAAATTATTTTAAATAAATGAATTTCAATAAAAATACCCTTTTTGATACAGTACAGATCAAGCTGAGTTTTAAAACAGCGTGTTCTTTGTGAGCCTTTTGAATCTGTACTGCTATGTTTGATAACCCTGTTGTTCATAATCAAGGCGCTTGAAAACCAACCATGTTTCCTGCAAACCTTCTGACCTTTCTTTGTTTCTATATCAAACTCAGCTTCGCTTATGAGGGTAAGCATTAAGTTACTTACTAATGCGGTATTTACTTCTACTTGTGTGTGTGTGTGTTTGCGGTTGGTTTTGGTGTTTTTTTTTATCTTCTTTATAACTCTCTAGCTCAGAGATCTGCCCAAGAACTGCCTCTGGTGGAGAAGCAAAGTACTGACAGCTTTCCTGTTATTGGAGGGAAAAAAATGATATTGACTGGCCATAACTTTCTGCAAGACTCCAAAGTCATCTTTGTGGAGAAAGCACCAGGTATGTCTTTTCAATCTAGACTCCGGTCTGCCTTTTTTCCCCTGTTTTAAAGTCTCTGCCAAATGATGAAAGCATAAATATGGTAATGACATTTTCTTCTTCTACATGTAATATGTTTTCCATGTCACTGGGCAAAGCTGTGAAAGTGATCTGAGCCATGCCTAATGCTGAGGTTTCACACTATGGCAGGTGTAGTTACAGGTAGACAATAGCGACATTGAAAGTCGAAGTTGGGCATTTGTTTTTGTAGCAAACCACGACTGTACCGGCTAGGACCTGTGAAGGGTGTTCAAAACCCCAGGTGGCATGTCCCCGTAAAACCTGCAAGGTGGTGCATCTTGTTAAAGCTTTCTGTAATTTGTGGAAGAGGCGAGAGGTGTTGCTGGCCATGTGTCTGTGCACGTGTGTCTGCTGTGGCAGTCGAGACCAGCGCCATTTACAATCTGCTGGCTGAGGAGGACTTGCAGCGCATGTGCATTCATTCGAAGGAGATACTTCTGGTTTACCTTGAGGACTGGGGAAGGGCTGCCGCCGGCTCCCTCCTTGCACGGCGTGGCTCCTGCAGTGCGTTGGTGGTGGGACTGGTCCTCCCAGGGAAGGGTCCCCGGCCAGGCTGAAGCAGGGCAAGCGGCATGGGGTGGGAGCTGGGGCTGGAGCAGGAGGTGTCTGGAGGAGCGGTGGGATGTCTGCAGGAGCGGTGGGTCGCAGGGTGACAACGCGATGCCCCCGCGGGAAAAGGCGGTGGGAGCAGAGCTGTGAGTCAAAATCAGGCTCTGAAACGAGATCGTTTAAGGGTAGTTTTGAGTCTTGTTTTGGAAAGGGTTTCCGTGGCGCTGGCACAAGCTACGGATTCCTCAGCTGCCGGCTGAAACCCCCCCTGAACTTTAAACCCTCTTGGGCGCTCCCCAGGCTGCCAGCGCGGGCTTTGATGCTGCGCCCGTTTAACCCTCCACGTCCTCCGGGTTCCGGCGCCGTTCCCCTGCCCGCGGCCGCTGCGGCTGGCGGGGCGAGCCCGGGGCGGCTGCGGCTGGCGGGGCGAGCAGGGGAGGCTCTGCAGGCGAAGACATCCGAGTAGGTGCAAGCTCAGCGGGCTCAGGGGAAGAGCAGAAGACTTCCCTGAAGTTCCCCGGCAGAGTCATGGGGGGGGCGAGGTTTAAGTCACCAAAGGGGCGGAGGCAAGGCCCCGGCTCTTCGGGGAGAGCCAGTCAGCGCCGTTCCTGTGACCCCCAAGCGCCGCCCCACACGTGGTCGGGCTGTGGCCGTGAAATGAGCAGAACGCCCTTCTTGCTTCTTAAGAAAGTTAAAAAAAAAAAGGAAAAAGGGTGGTATCGCAATTAAAAAAAAATGGAACTCTGCTCTTTGCATAGCGTGAGGGGAGGGAAGAACGTGACTGACTGCTTCGTATTTAAACTTCCTTTGCTGCACAGAAGTGGGTTAGTGTGACATGGCAGGGGCAAAGTCCTCGATCTGTCTCATTACGGGAAGGAAACCACATTAAAAGGTGCTTTCCTTCATAATTATTTTCTCTCCTCTTCCGTTATTGAGTTGGAAAAATTTTGAAGTATCGCGTCCCAAAGGATTATGATGGTGATGCTACTCGCCCACCAGCAGCGTGGATTTGGACTCTGTCTCCCTTAGCATTAAGTACACCAAAAGCAAGATGTTCACTGTATAGCCTTAAATTACAAAAATGCAAAACGGGGCCAGCCTTGTACTTCTTAACTAGACAGATACCTCCTTTGAGCAAAAGGAATTTGAGACTGCACAAAGACAGCATGTAGATAGAAAATAATTTTTATAAGCGACATTTTTTAAACGTTGTGAGAGATGAAGGAGTGTACTGCTGCATACTGGGTGTGCTGATGAGGAAGAAAATGATCAAAAGGCCTTGCCTGTCACCCTGAAAAACTCCTGGAGTAAATCCTTGGGTGGATGGCTTGGCAGGATGGACCAGCGCAGGAGTGTCTCTTCTACGTGAAAGCACCACCGGAGATCCCCCTGCACTCTTCCCCCTGGCATGGAGTGGGGGGCAACGCTGCAGGAGTCAGTCAGTAAGCTGCTATCATTGAAGAGTAATCAAGATCATTAAGTCAGTATTGAAAGATCTGATCCGCAACTGTCCTGCCTGGTTTTAGTAGTCTCACGGTAGATTTGTTGCGGTTGCAGGGCAGTACTGCCTCGTGGAGATACACTGCAGGGGCCGAGCCTTTAAAGCCGAGAGTGTTCAGCATCTCAAGGAGCTGCAATCGTGTCACTAGGAATGGCACACAAAAAGCAAAGTTGCTGGCTGGTCTGGGCTGAGCAATTTCTAGGGCTTCGGTGATGAGTTGTGTGCTACATTGCCTAACAGCTCGGTGCATTGGAAACAAACAAGCGCGATGCATCGTTGTCTCAGTGGCAAACTGCTCCGGCTCAATTTTTGAGCGGAGTCACTGTATTTAATGTCAAATGAACAAGCATTACCAGCCTTCACTTTTGAAAATCAGCACTTGGTGTTTCTTTCCCTTTCAGCTCTTGCACGTCTATGAAAGTAGGTCAAGAGAGGGAACACCAGCATAGTTTCTCTTTCTCTTAGAAAGCTGGTTATGAACTTTTGTGATTAGCTGGAGACATTCATTAGTTTTGCTGCTGTTACCGCTTTTGTTTTTGAATTCAAAATGTTAATCACGTTCCTCGTGGGTAGCAGCCAAACACGGCTATTACAAAGTAATAGATCACAGGAATCATTGCGCTCATAAAGAGAACGTATCTTTTATATAAAATTTAAATATTATACTACATGAGCTCATGTCTTCAGTCCTCTCTCGGGCAGAGTCCCCAAGCCGGGAGGCAGTCTCCAGGAGCTCGTCTCATTCATGCTAGTCTGCATACTTAATGGGTTAATGCAAAGAGTTTGAGAACACTTTTTGTTTGTCTTTTTTTTCCGCCTCCCCTTCTGTCTGAATAATTTCTTTAAGTCTGCCTAGTGCATTGTGGTCCGCTGAATGTTTTTCCAAGCATGAGTCCCAACCTCTCCGTCTTCAGGGCTAGCCCTCAGCTGTTGTAGTCTCTGGAGGAATGGCATTATCCTGGCCTCCTTGCGTGGGGAGTCTGTCTGAGCGGTGACTCATACAAGAGGGAATCCCTGAAGAATGATCAAATCAATCCTTCAGCTGGGGAGGCAGTGGCTTGGTGCTTTCAGCTTAACCCCTTCCTGGCTGCTTTTTAGCCGAGAAGCATATGAAACAGAGCAAAATACACTTTGCAGCCCTGCAACTTTGCATCTCATAGAGGAGGAACGAGGCAGCCGAGGGATAAAGGGGCACTGAAAGGACTGTGGGAGGAGTGCTGTGAGGACCTCCTCTGAAAGGAGAAACCCCTCACGGTGTGGTCCGGCGCTGAGGCAGAAGGCACCCCTTTGGATAAATAATGAGTCTTTTCAGAAGTGGACTAAAATTTGCTCAAGCCTTTTTACAGTACCGTAAAAAAGTTCTCATGTGTTGAAATGAGTCCTTATTTTACAGAATTTTGGTCAATGTTTTTATTGCTTACACATCAGACCATATTTTCCAGTGATAAACGATGGTATAAAATGACCGTCCAAGAAGCCTAGTGGTAGTAAAAATGTGAATGCTGAGAGGTTCATTCTTTTAAATTCAGAATTTCCTTAGACTGGGGAGTCCCACAATTACTTTGTCTCCTACAAATTACACTAATAATTGTTTTTCTTATCTTCTTTCACTTTCTGTCTCTCTTTGTAGTCATGCTTTTCTCTTCCTGAGTTTCATCTCGTGCATCTACGTGTCATGGTTGTTGCTAGGTTTAGGATGTTCCAATACCAATCTGTTTTTCATCAGAATTAGTACTTTCTAAATTATAAGAAAGTCTGCAGCTTCTTACTGGCAAGGGCCCTTGATGTCTGTATGCTGGTATTCGCTGTGGAGGCAAGGTGTGCGTTTTAGTTACAAAAGTGGATGAAATGAAGTTGATGTTTGTTAGCTATGGGAGGAGGTGTTTGGCTAGGAGGGGCAAAATGTTTCCTGTCTAACACATGAATCTGCAAGAGCATGGATTGTGATCTGGAATTACAATAAAAAATACTGATTTATTTACTTACCTTTTTAAAACTTTTTGTTTCATTTCTAAATTATAAATGTACCAGGCAACAAAAATCTTGAGGGAAGTTCAAAAATGCAGAGGTGTTTGGAGAATGTTTTAAGGAATATATATCTGTCAGCTACCTTTTTTTGGTAACAACTTTCGCAAACACTGTGTATTTGTTTTCAAAGCTAGGTTTTTGAAGGTGATAGGAGTTACTACACAAAGCAGCACAAAAGCCTAGCAGAAATGACCAGACTGCTGGCTTCTAGTATATCAGATTATGACTAGTGATCTATAAAACTGAGTGCGGTGGAAAAATCCTAGCTTCTCTTCACTGAGTTCACAAAATTTTTCCTGTAACTTGCAAGTGAAAGCTCACTGATGAGACACAAAGCCAATATCCCAAGCACAAAGCACAGGAAAAGTTATGGGTATGTCTTCCTGGCACGCTCTAGGACATTGTAGAGTTGCCCAGGATATTTTGGGATTTAGAAAGAGTCTCGCACTAAGATCTGAAAGATTTAATCTACCCCGGAAGTTGCTCCTTGCTCAAAAATTGCTCCTTACTCCTGTAGCTAGAATGATTTTGGCACTGGAACTAGCTCAAGTATTTCTGGACTTCAAGGATTTGGCTAAGTCTAGACATACCTAAGAGATCAGGTTAAGCTGACTGAAATCTTCATTATTAGCAAGTTGTGATCTATGGGAAGAAATGGATATTTGGTGTATTATTATTAATTATCATTCAGTTGAGTTTCCACTAGTTAAGTTAGAGCTCCAAACCCATTTCTTTGGTTTTGTGCTTAGTGACCAGGGCTCAAGGCAAGAGTTTTAAAGAGTGAAAAGGCAGAAATATGGCACCCATCTTCACTACAGGATTAATTTCTCAAATAACACTGACTTTGAAATTCTGATTCTGG